ATCCTCAAATGACCGTAAAGTGAATGGCATTAGGCCATGTTTGTTCACTGCTGCCGATAAAAACATTCTGAAGCAAACAAGCAGTATGATAGTAATGGGATAATTTAAAATCATTATTATATTGCAAATTTTTATTTAACAGTCTCGCTTGAGATGTGACACATATTTCATAACAAAAGCAACTGACGACTAGTTCCATAGTCAAAAATATTTCTTTACATATATGGAACCAGGAGCAATGCTAATTTCAACTTCGCATCTAAAGAAATTCCATAAAGTTAAAATAAAGAAAAAAGAAAGTATAAGAATGGAAAGATCGATGGTTTAGTGAATACTAAAATCGTGAAAACGGATAATGAGTTTAACATTCTTCAACCAGCAGCAATGAAACTAAGACTGTCTTGACCTTTATGATTAAGCAAAAAAAGCATTCCATAAGATCATCGCATAAAATTGTAACTGCCACATTGTGAAAAGGGAAAAAGAGAATTGAGAGCTTTAGAATATGGATGAAAATGGAACAAAAAATTAAACATTTACACATACCTTGATGCTTTAACTTTGAGCGAGTAAACGAGATCATCCACTTTTTTATAAATTGTTGTTCTCGAATCAAGAATGCGGGTTTTACCTTAAAATTCACTAAACGTAGGGTAGCCAGGATGAATAAATTCTACTGCTTAATAGATACTTGCAAAAGTGTAAGAAGGAAGGCAATGAAATAATAATTTTCTTTAAATAGGTTGCTAAATGATTGTTCATTATATAACGAGCGCATCACAATCGTGTGGAGAAAAGGGTGAGACAATATACGTTGTCACAAATAGAATTCTTTTAATATTGCCAGCCGTAAAATTTCAGATTGTAAGTAGAAATTGAAAAAGAAAAAGAAAAACAATATACCTTCACCAGTGCTCATCAGAATATCAATAGCATACACTTCAAATTTTTCAAAACTACATTTCATCATTTCAGAACGTTGCTTTTCACCAGGATTTTGAATAATTTGCTTTTCCCCATCAATCTTATTCTTCCTTAATTCATGCGAAAGCATATTCTCAACTGGCTTTACCTAGAAACAAGGAAAAAGTCACTTCAGTAAAAAAACATATAATCTATATTATCAGACACATGCACGGTTTTTGAAAAGTCATGGCAGTGGAGGGAAAATGGAGTAGAATATGGGAATGTAGATCCATCAGCAATAAAAAAAGAAGTAATGAAAAAAGGAGGACCCTACAATCCATAAGGTCCCATTAAAGCACAAATCCCATTAAAAATTGAATTAAATTTATAGAAAACGACCTGCCTCGTACAAAAATACTCCACGCCTTTAAAAGTAATGTATTGACTTTTACAAACCTGATATATACTTGCAATTTTATCAATCATGTCCGTAATTTCCATATTTTTATACAACCCTGGACGAAGCATGCGAACTGCTGCTTCCATAGCATTGTACGCAGCAAGCATCACGTTTGCCATCCTGCCTTTTATCTTGTTTTCCTGAAATGAAATTCAGAATCACATAACATCAAATATATAATTGTTGTACTGTTGAAACTTTACTTGAGACAGGTTGTTAGTACTAAGCAACTCTCGATGGTCTAAAGATTTCACTCCACAAAATTTTCTTGAACAAAAAAAAACAGTAAACACATTATCTAATACGTATGCTACCGTTGAAATACCAGGATAAAAATTTAACCGTACTGGAGAAGCTCCGACAACAATGGTATGAGCAGCGGTTGCAATGAAACCATCAATGTGAGCTCCGAGGTCAATTTTCACCATCTGTCCATCCTTGATAATCACTGGCGGATCGCTTCGCAACGGAGAAAAATGACAAACACAATTGTTGATTGAAATGCATGTTGGCATAGCAATACCTATAAAAGAATCTTACACAGTTCGTCGAAAGCTACAATGAAATGTATAGCGATTGCTCGATAATTCAATTCCGATTAAAAAATCTAATAGTGAATCTAATAAGAGCAAATAGTATTGTAGAACTAAGGAATGGATGGGAAGTGAAAAACGTTATCAGCTAACAAATCTATTAAAAGAAAATTTATTATTAATCTTAAAATATCTATTCTTTAACATTGGGACATAATATAGACATTGGATCGATAAAGATGAATTCATGCATTAATGCTAATCTATGAAAAACAGACATAAATTATACCTTTCAAGGCATCTTTTTCCTTCTTAAAAACTTTTGCTAACCGCTCATTCATAAGCCTATCGCCGAGATCACAAATTTCGCCTACTTGAACACCACTTTTTATAGCCAGTATCAGTTCCTGTAACAAACATCTCCTGTTCCAATTACATATCTTTTTTACGATACCTCTACTATCTGGCAAGTCTTCCGTTATTTACCATGACAAATTGTTCAGAATAAAGTTCGGTTCCATTTGTTAAACCATTTCCTTTAATGTATCTTTAATGTATTGTGTATGGTAATAATAGTTAAACTCACTTTCAAGACGGCATTGACGATATCGGCCGCCATCGCATATTTCGTCACGACCAGATCGCTTGCCGGTGTTTCCATAACACTTTTCTCATCATCACTACTTTCGCTGCTTCGACATATCGGTCTTCCCTTTTCAGCCATTTCTCCAAACAGTCTAAACGCTAGACTACATATGATAACTTCTACACATTATAAAGGCCGTAATATTCTAAATTCCATTTTCAGCACAAAAGTGCTTTTGATCGTAATTACTTTTTTTAAATGTTAGTCTTTCATCGGTAAATACAAATATTCTAACAACAAAAAAGTTATCGACAGTACCACTGCGATATAATCCATTTTATTCTTATTATATAGTTAAACTTGAGATGAAAATAAACAAACAAATAACCTGTTCAAATCCTAATGGAATGAATAGAAATGAAGAATGATGAAACAACAAACAAAGAGACAGAAAGTAAACAAAATTTATGTGAAGGCATTACACTTCATACATTTTAGCGTATGATAAAATCCTAAAAGTAAATAGCACGTAATACTGTCGTTAGTTCCCGAGTTTACACTTAATCGAAACATCAAAGAAAATTCCAGATCATTCCAAATTCAGATACTTTGACTTTAGGTAACCTTACCGAAGCTCCAAAATCCTCATTTTTACATCAAAAGTTCAAATTTCAACTCTTGATAACCATTAACTTCAACATCACTACGTGAAACACCACGTATGCGCACCTACACAAGAGAAAAGGAAATGAACCCCTCCCCAATCCTAACAAACGACCCTCAAAGACAAATATCTTAAAACGAAAACTGGCAATCTTCCAATTACAATACCATAAAAAGCGCTGTAAGATTACTTGTTCTACATTTGCTTATGCCATTTGGTTTGTGAACGTGCTAACGTTCGTGCATTATCGTTTGTTTACGTCAATATGTCTGCTTTTTACTTTGTGTGTTGACGCGAGTATGTGTGAATGTTTCATAAATTTTTATATTCCATTTTTAAGCATCTAAAAATTTGGTGTAGATTGATGTTGTCGAATTCAATATGTGAATTGTGTATTGCAGGAATGAAATGAGATTAATGGGCGGAATTGTTTTTATGATTCGAAATTACAACTGAGAAAAAAAGACTCTCGAGCACTGGTTTTAGGAATTTTATGATGTCCAGAAAAAGCATGAATTTGCAAGTTGAGAATCATAGTTTTTTTTTTTCTGCTTGGCTATAGTTACTTTTTACGCGTATGCTTTTGTTTTCATTTTTTGTATCAACGCTTTTTTTCGTTTCATGTATTTCTTTGTCATTATGCAATTTTAGGATAATTGCAAATCTGCTGACTGAACACATTCATGACTGAAGTTGCTAAATTGTGACATGGAATGTTGAACTAGGCATGAGCTCCTGCAACGTGCTATTCTATATTTTTACTGCAAAGTATTCTCAATATAGTCAAAGTTGGTTATACTGTAGGTAATTTTGTTCAAAAATTTATCGTTCTGAATTATTCGTTAATTTTTAAATTCAGTTTAAATTTGATTCTGCTAATCTTCAGGACTTAGCAACTTAATGTGCCATAATTTTCTTTTAGATTTATTTGCGAACTTTCTGGCAAAGCTTGATGTGTTTCCTGAATTTTTTCTTGTTCGGGGCTTTGGTAGCAGTTATTGCGGGTATCTATCCGTTTATCCATGATAGCTACACTTTGAAATATGGATCTTTCACATCTGAAGAATTACTGGAAGCCAAAAAGGCAACGCGAGAAATGTTCAATTTTGCATATGAAAATTACATCAAGCATGCTTTTCCTATGGACGAATTGGATCCAATTAATTGTTCAGGTCGTGGTTATGACCATCTTCATCCGTAAGTTCTACTTTTTTCTAGTTTCATTCATTTTCAATTTCTTTCAAATGAAGATAATAAGAGAGCATAATTGTTACGCTTCGGGATGAACTTTTTTCAAAGGAGAAAAAAAAGTGGAAATATTTCCTACTCCTCCTCCACTGTACTTTTGATAGTATTTGTAGCAACAGAATGACAATTTTGCACATTTTATATCATAAAATATGTTTTTTTTAGGTCCAATATCAATATAAATGATGTTCTTGGAGATTATTCACTTTCTTTGGTATGTTAACATTATTGATGGTCATGATGTTAATATTTTGAATGAAGCATACAATACAACTAGAAAAATAGTTTTTCATAACCGTGAAAAAATCTCCCTAATCCGTGATTCATTTTTAGATAGAGTCGTTGGATACTCTAGTTGTTTTTGAGAACCGAACTGAATTTCATAATGCGATTCGGATGGTGATCGACAACGTTTCGTTTGAGAGAAACGTTACGGTACAAGTGTTTGAAGCAACGATAAGGTGAATGCAGTTTTGAAATAGTACGCAAGTTGAATTTCTCGTGGATCGATTCTGCATATCACATCACTCTGCGAATGTGGTAGTAGTCCTACTATAACTCGTCAAGCAATGAATCACTGACAGGTTAACACCGCCAAGCTACTTTACGAGCCGGCCCACTAAATTTTTTGAGGAAATATCATCAGGCTTTCCGAGTGTAAAAACATTAACTTCGGACAACACAGGATACTGCTAATGAGTAGGATGATAATACGTTATTCGCAAACTTTGCAACTTTCGTTTTCTGTATCCAGCTGCTAATCTTTTGACCTTTTTTCAGGATAATCGGGTCTCTTTTGTCAGCCCATTTGATCCTTACTGATGATTCCCATATGTTGGGTAATTATTCTTTAAATGATTATGATGGAGAATTGCTTACAATGGCACATGATTTGGCTATTCGTCTGTTACCGGCTTTTAATGGCACTAAAACGGGTAAATTCACGTCTTGTCATATTCGTTATTTGAACGGGTAAGTTTGCTAAAGGTTCAGATGAGTTATTATAGTTTCTTTTCGTGGGATGTACAAAACTTTACGTTTTTTCTAGGAATACCATTTCCACGAGTAAATTTGCAAAATGGGGTAAAGGAAGGAACGGTTAACGAAAATTGTGTCGCTGGAGCCGGAAGTTTATTATTGGAATTTACAGTTCTGTCACGCCTTTTGGGTGATGGTACGTACGAAAGTTTGGCGCGCAGAACTAATCAGAAGTTATGGTCTTTGAGGAATAAAGTAACTGGTTTGTTGGGT